GGACTGTGTCAGCCAGTCAGGCCACCAGTTTGCCAAGAGCTGGAGGAAGCCTCCGTGACGGTCTTGGGTTGCATCACAGAGGCGGGGGATGTTTGGACGACCGGTCCCCGTCCCTGCTGAGGCGAGCCGCGGGTTGCAGAGTGCGTCTGGCACCTCATCTCGGGGCTGCTCCTGAGAAGGGCAGGCATGGAGCACAGGGAGGAGAGAGAGGAGGTCAGATGGGCTCACGAGTCAGGCACTCGTTGCAGATCTGGGCCGGGTCAGTAGCTGTCTACCTTTGTGTTTATGATGAAGAAAGGATGGTTGGATGGATGGCTGGACCGACGAACAGATGGAAAGAGGGAAGGAAGGATGGATGGAAGGAAGTACAGACGCAAGCTGTCCCACCAGTAAATTTAGACGTTTGGTCTTGCACAAATAGCCATCATCATTTTAATAAAGCCGGTGCCAAACCTAGATTTCTCGAACACTCCCATTCTATAATTCCATCCTGTATGATTAAAAGCTTTCCCAGCAAACTGGGAGATTAAAACAACTGATCAAAAAATGTTGAGAAATCTCTCTGCCCTACCCTGATGGATGCCCGCCTGATCCTTCTGACCCTGTCACCAGAGGGCATCAGCTTCTTGATAGGGCAGCCCAGGAGGAGTTTAGGAGGCGCAATGCAGCAGTGGGCAGGCTCCAGCCCCAACTGGGAAGCGTCATTTGTCCAGCGACGCTTGCGAGTGGTCCCCAGTGGTCCTGCAGTGGTGGCTCTTTCTGTTCTGGCTTGTCAGGCTGGTTGTCGACGCGCTTCGTTATAACGGGAAGTCGAGGCGGTTGTACAAGGCACGCGAATGAGGAAGGGAAGCCAGCTCAGCTGCCTCTCCCTGAACCGCTGCCATTTGGGCGGTGGAGGCAGGGAAATAGGGGTTAATTTCAGGAGAGAAGGCTGACTGCGGGAGGTGGATATCCATCCGGACACACACAACAGCAGGGGAGGAAGACTTCAGGTCACTGCTGGGGGCGGGGTGGAAACTTGACTGAAGACTCGTAATGAGGGGATGGAAAATCAGGGACGAATAGGGTTTAGATGGGGGCAAGACTTCTAATTGGAAAAAGGACACAGTACTGAAGTCAGGAGGAAACAGGAGAGCTCAGTTCCGTGCAAAATCAGGGTACCTTTGGCCTCCCAGACGTTTGGAGCTCACTCAGGAGGTCCACCTGCTCAGCCCACCCAGGCCAACAGCAAGCATCACGGAGACAGCAGAGCAAGGCGCAGCACATTTCAGCCCCTGGAGAAAGCTCACCAGGAGGACAGGAGCATTTAAATGAGGCAGGCCCAGGATCAGACATCAGACTGGATTAACAACGGCTGGAAAACCGAGGCAGGGTGAGTCCGAGCCATCATTTTC